GTCGCCACGATATATTTGAATATAGATCCGCAGACTCACAATGGTTGTGATTTGCAGTGTCGTCTGGGTCATTCAGACTTAAACTACTACTCGGAGGATGATTGGCGTATTTAGTTTCAGCTTCGTTTATAATCTCGTGTACGTAAGTTGTATTCTCGCAAGATGGTGGTTTGAAGGCATTGTTCGCTTTGCACGCTTGAGCTGGCGGCAATATCGCTTAGGATAATGTTTTAGCCCAAGGTAGAGTAGCATAAACACATGTTCACACAAATCGGATAGTCAAAGAGTCAGTAAACACATTGTCAAAGATGTTATTTACCATGTACTTTTACCGGATAGCTCAAAGACACAAAAATAGCACTTATTGAAACTATTTTAGAATCCACACTGTTTAGCTAAAATATGCTGTTGTCTGTAGTACAGACTGTACATTTGACGACAAAATATGACCAAGGTCAAAACAATACCTAGGCATTGTCCAGTGATTGACAGTCTCTAACAAGTGTGAAATCAAGTTATTCCGCTAATGGTTATCCAATGGATTATCCATGTCCGGTTCTCATCTATTTTGAATTAAACTGTTTTCCCATAACATATCGATCCACTTGTGATTCCATATTTTCAGTTTTGAGTTATAAACAAAAATCTCAACGTCCAAATTTTTTATTCACATCTGGGTTTAATAAGAAGATACCTAATAGTTACTCATTGCCGAGGAGAAATCAGAGGATTACTTTTAAAGTTTGTTATCGAATACTTCAATATTGGCACCCGCCCGGGGCCAAATTATTACATTCCTAAGGTGCAAAGATCACCTCGGGTTACCGGTCACGGTTTCAATTGAGAAATTACAACTAAGTACTCTAATCAAAGAATAGGCATCGTTTATCAATAAAATATCACGCGAAAAGGTGATGGTAATGAAATACGACATTAGGTTTATTTAATTGAAAAATTATTTCAATTAAATAAACCTAACCTAAACTAACCTACCTATTACGCTACAGCTGCAGCCTAAGAGTTACTTTTTGTGTTTCAGGTGCACTTATACAATCCATCATAGTCCATGCTGCTGGTACTGCATATAATACATTTTTGTTTCTGCATAGGTGGAAATTTCCATATTAAATTGTTTTATTATTAATTGAGGAATGTGGGCTGCACAATAAAGCAAGTTGCACAACTTACATAAGTCTAACCTTTGTAGTAACCGAAATAAATCAAGCTTGGGCAAACTTGTGAAGAGAAGTCCCCTCGGGCGTGTGGTATTTGGAGAGTGCTCCACAGGAAAGCAATTTGTAACGTTGGATAACCAAATCAGAGTTAGAAGCACAGGCCAAGGCTAAAATATACGTTGTTGAGGAACAAATGGTACAAGTTATTTATCATTGTCGAGTTAAACACATTAAAGTGCCTACTTCAATCTTCAAAGCTTTAACCAAATGCCATTTAGCGATATAATAATTATGATTGTCGACTAATTTAGAGTAAAAAAAATGAACTGATTATGAATATGATTGATGAGTTATTTTTAGATCGAAAGTTTTGTCTTTTTTTTTCTTTTCAAATACGATTATAGAAAACAGTTAACACAAAGAAACTATGCACAAATGTAAGTTAATCAGTGGTAAGAGATCGTGAGAAAAATATCAAAATTATATGGCTATCTCGGGCTTTCACTGTCTCACGGCAAGATGCTAGAAGAGTCGAGGTCTGGGAGCACGGCAGGTAGTTTTTACTATTGCGTCTATCTGATGTGCTCGACAAATTAGGCATTGTAATTAAAACCGTTTTTTGGTGGAAAATCCGTTTTATTTCTAGAGTTCATCTTTCATATACCTATTTAGTTTTCATTTGTATCTACCTACCATAGTGTACCTACTTATACGCTACAGTAGCATTTTCAGAAAATGATATCGCAATGTTTTCGTAGCAACAGTATAATTCATAAATTACTATTGACTATAAATTTATCATATGTTTTGAAAGATGTGTGAAGAACTTTATTTCTATTACAATCGTAAACATACGAGCATTTCAGTAAGTATTTGAGAGAAAATAGAAATGATAGTTTGTTATTAAAATGAAAAGCATTTATATCACTACGAAGCCCTTATACCTACTTTAGAAGGCAGCAAGGTTCAAAGGTAAGCCGTTAGCTTGAAGATAAGCTGGTTCGTTTAGTAAAGGCTTACTGGTTGCATTTCACCGAAGCTTTATTAGGTAACAGATCTCTACAATAAAGTAAGTCTCTCTTTTCTCGCTTAGATAGGTCTTCTATCAAATTTGAATGTTTTTATATGAGTGTCTTTCTCACTGTGTATCAAAAACAGGCATTTCCCTATAATTTAGTTCTTCAAAGTTTGCATTAGTATTCTATAATACCTGTTGCTATATTCTGAGGATAATAAGATCTCTTAAAACGTCACGAAGGTAGGTACAGAAAGCAGAAGTGGGACTAGGAAGCAGTAGTAAGTTCTACATTTTAGCAATTAAATAACATTTTAAAATTTATTTTAAACTTTAAAGAAAAGTTGATAATAATTCTAGAAACATCATTAGCGGAAACGTAAAAAGCTTTCTCACGCTTTATAGTTTGATACAAAGAAAACCATAAGTCTTTGTTATAAAATCAGCAAGCTATGGGTAAAAGTATGGGGCATTATATGCGTAGGCAGAATTAAGTCATTAAGTAGTTATAAATTGAAATCCAATTGTTAAGTGCGCAAGCTACTGCCATCATTATGTTGTTGTTGATTGTCTAGCCATTGTTTGATTGTATGTATGCATCTGCATTTACAATTACAACACTTTTCCTATTATACTCGTAGTACCAACTGTTCAAAGGCTTTTGTTTTTCAACAATCGCCTACATGACCAACATATTTTATTTGTTGATAATTATTATCCTTGATTTGTAAATAAATCTAGTCCAATGGAACTCCATTGAATATGCACTAAATATGTATAAACATTTTCTAACGTTTTACTAGAAAAGTTTTCATTAAAAGCAAATTAAGTGTTCGATCGTTTGGGATCTGATTCTGCGAATTCATTAAGTAATTTATATAAGTAAGTGTTGAAATGAAATACACGCGAGCGAAGTCACATGCAATCGCTATTTTATAAATAAAAACATACTACGAAACATAAACGATGAAATGCTGAAATAATACTACCTACTCGTATAATTACATTGACTGCGGTTATTAATAAAAGATTACTTAGCGATAAAAAGGCGAAAACTAAAGTGAAGACAGGTCTTGCAGATGTACTTACATAGCAATATTATTGCTGACGAATCCATAATCTCGCATTACGTATGTTGTCTAACGACAGGTAGGCAAGGGGCTTTGGGTCAATTAGTCGCATCCTTACATAATACGGCAAGTTGTCCTGGAGTAGGTCCTATCCGGCATGATGGCTACCAGTTTTGATTTACTGCTTAACGGCATATATTACAACCTACACGTAAACTTTTATGTGAAGAAAACTTGTTGGTATAGCTGGTATTATAGCATGAATAAAATCTAAGATTTTGTATAAAACACTATTTTATCAAATAAACTTGGATACTTTCGCCTAATATCTACAAAGAATTAGCTTACTCCATAAACATTAAACACCTTTAAATTGATTTCCTTAATTAAATTAAAATTGCATAAATGCACCAAAACACTAAAAATAGCTTGTCATCAAAGCTCATGTAAGAATCTAGTGTGTCCGTTACATAATGTACGATGTTAGTCAAATTACTTTTTATATTTGTTTATTTTCTGCTGTTCTTTCGTAACCAAAGAGATTAACGTTTTCAATAAATTCACGCATCGCTCGTACTACTCAGCTATGTCGTAAAATTTTATTTTACCTCCTCTACGGTTGTTCGGGTCTCAGTTGAGAATGAAATAGAGGAAGTCATAAGAGCTTTTTATTATACACTCGCTTAGTTTCGTTTGTAATATACACGCACTATAAGCTACTACAACCGGTACCTATCTGCTGCATTATAGGAAATATGATATGAAATTATAATGACAAATATACTCGTAAATGAATCGATTAATGGGACTCTACATTTTGGAAGATGTAATTTCAACCATATTGTATATTGCAACATAATTATGAGAAAAAAATTAAGTTAATGCATGAACATGTAACCTAGATAGTGCTAGCTTCAGATCCTAATACTTCATAGCGACTTCCGACAATTAATGCAAACGAGCAGATCGCATCATCACGTGCATTGCGTCACACGCGGGGAAAGTGCATCACTTGTGGATTTTTGATAAAAATGTCGTCAAAGGAAAAAACATAACGTCACTTTGGTGATGCAATGCTTATAACAAGCTCAACATAGAGAAGCTATTGTTTAGGTTTATCTTTGGGAAAATGGTCGAAATATGCAAAATAATTTCAAGACTTTTTATGTAATCACAACTTGCGAGTAAAAGACTTTTCTCTCAGATATGATCGAAGTTCTCACTTCCACATTCACGATTCTGTCAACCCTCCTTTGCCATTATCAATATCATAATGCACAAATAATATTCGGTCACCGCATCCATAAAACAATTCCGTAGCGACACTCGACCATGTAGTGAAAGGTTAAATTTCATTTGAATAATAAGCTATAATTTACTACGTGAGAGAAAACTCTTCGTCTCTTACAAATAGCCATATTAAAATAATAAAGGAGAATCAATTTACATCATTAACGAGGAACACTGTCGGTGCTTGTTCATCTTAATTGACTACATGTATTACCTAAAAATGTTAAATTAACAATGGTCCATAATCAGGTGCACTCCATAAACAATTTTAATTGATATTAAACAACTCTTGTAAAACACATTTCACAAAAAATGCGTATTGATAATTAATTAATTAAAACACGTTAACTCACTAATATAACATAAAAAGTCCAATTATGAACCATTGGGAATTAGCACTTAATGCTCACTATTATTAAGCACCTTTATGGTATAAACACAGGTACTCACAAGCCGCATGGTGTTGGTGTCGTCCTAGTCGGTAGTCGTTCCTGCGGTAAGCCTGGGCACCGTCACTCGCGCTGGTCCGTCGGTACGTACTGCGAGCCGCGGCCGCCGCCCCGCCAGCTCCACCACGGATTGTGTAAAATACCACATCCGAACGAGGATGTGACACTTTACACTGTTTACAAACCTGCCCCTCGTCAGTCATTGATGGTACGCGATATGTTATGTGAGGGAAACACATTAATTAGGTAGGTCGAGTTATACTCGTAGATAGAGGGGTCATCTCAAAAGCATCGTATAACCGAACCGCCTAGTATTCGATTTTTCAAAATACTCCCCAAACACACAAGTAAATAAAAAAAATGTAATACCTACTATAGGTATATTTTAGGTAATTACGAGTAAGACTAGTAATTAATACTACTGAAAACTTAAAGTTGCAATTTACAATGACATGATATACAAGTCACCTAGAGCTTAAAAAGTTTCAATCGCGAGTCATCTACGAGTAAAATCACCAAACATGTAATTTTACAAGAAAACAAAACAAGTGGCTTGTAACCAAAACTAATCAATTGTAAAACAAGAGGCTAAGAACAGTGAGTTAGCGCATTCACGCTCATTGAGAAAGTGTGGATAGAAAAAAACGGCCAGGTTCGTGAAAAAAGCTTACCTACATTTTTCAAGAAAATTAATTTTTCATGTTTCTTTCTGTCTTAAGGAAAATTGAAACTGATCCAGAACTGAGTCAGGAAATTAATTGGGCTTTTTTATGGATTTGGCTCTACACAACTTTCCTAATTTTGAGGGTTGTGACTCGTGAATTAGCTTGGCCATTTTCTCAACTTTAGTAACTAACTAATATAAAACAATTGACGATTTTATGTTTTCATTCACCTTTATTTTAATTTTATAAAGAAAAAAAAATATAGATATTTAACAATAAGTAATTCACACAGGACTTGACATGATATCCTTAGATTTTACCATAATAATTTCTGTCATCATGTCATGCCATAACATAAGTGCCCAAATGCCAAATGTTTTTAACCGACTTCAACAAAAAGGAGGAGGTTCTCAATTCGGTTGGTATTTTTTAAACTATAGAATGAATTGGAACTTGGCTATGAAATTACCTTGGTGTTTAGTCTACCGGGACATTCGGCACGCTCATGTAACGTCAACAGGTGCCGTGTTTATTCCCATGTTGGCAACAAGTCGGCCACTCGTACGAGCCGCGGCCAATCGCTGTGGCTAATAAGGCTGCACTTGATCGCCGTCACAGATTAATGAATTGCCGCAACTCTATCTGTTGTCGTTGCTGACGAGTTAAGCTTCTTATCGTGAATAAGGGCGATAAGGCATGATGCCATTAATTTGTCTTGGTGTTGACGGATTGACACAATAGTTAATGTTCTCTGCTATGGTGTATTTATTATGCGACATCTCTTACAGCAATATTATTTAATTTATCTTGGTGTCAAGACAATCGTGTAAAGTTCGGTGGATACTTATTTATAATTAGTTAGATGGTTCTATTTGGCACTATGGATTAGTTAGACATATTATCTGTTTGTTTATTCAGGAAATGAACGGCGCTACATTACCGATAGTAACCAATCACTAGTTATTATAATATTATATTATAGAGCTAACTAGCGGTCGCCCGCGACTTCGTACGCGTGAATCCCCTTTTACCCCCTTAGTTTCCACTCCATCCGAGTTTCGTAAAATCCTTTCTTAGCGGATGCCTACGTCATAACATCTACACAATCCGTCCAGTGGTTTGGGCTGTGCGTTGATAGATCACTATGTCAGTCAGTCAGTCAGTCACCTTTGAGTTTTATTTATTTATATTATAGGCTATCATAAAAATAAGACACAAGTAGAAAATAAACAGCACTAATAAAAAAGAGAAACATTAGTAAATTCTGAAAGTTAAATTTTCAAGTAGCAGCATCTCTGATTGACAGACCTGTTTACGTTTGTCGGTTTCTGAGATATTTCGCGTTGTGTGAGAAAAGCGGATGCCAATTAAGATGACGGAAAATTATGAAACGACAAACTGACACAGTAATGAAGGTAGAGGATAACTGGCCATTAAACTGTTATAATATCGGATACATAATAAGACACCTTATATTTTAAAGCAGTAAGACTTTATAGAACAGATCTTGTTACAGCTCATTTTGATGTCCGATTGTAAGTTTCGTAGTTCCGTCTCTTGCGGGCGCCGCACGATATTTCGATATTAGTCTCACTGGACCGATTACTTAACGACTGTCGTCTAGAGAATATTGCACTCAAAATGTTGATGTTACAAACCAAACCATAACAATGAGGTTTATGAAATACAATTATTGAAGAAATTTTAGACATATTATCGTAGTTTAATCAATTCGCGTATGTAGATAAAGGCACATCAAATTATCGAGGGGCAACTTCGCCATAAACTTACATACATACTTACTCGATTTTAGATATATAAATCGCATTTAAATATACCGGAAGGTCGCTACGTAATAAAGACTTCAACGCGTCACTTTACGACGTCAGTTATATTCTCTCGGACGGAACAAATTCATGTAATTACATTCAACTTGAGATGGATGTAGGCAAAATAACGAATTCTTATTCATCGTTACTGGCTAGTGGTCGTAGTCGTAAAAATTCGGATGTGGAATGTGATAAGCGTGCGAAATGACACGTTACTCAAGAAAGAGGCAAATTGAAATACAATAAATAAAAAAGTATACAATAAAATACTTAAATGAAGTGTGGTATATTGTGTTGGGGTCAAAGCTCAGCGACCGGTTCCCTCGTGGACTTTCTTTTCCTTAACCTTAGGCCACGCGCACACTGCGCTGCGCAGGCGCTAACTTAGCGACGACTCGCGTGACGTAACCGCGCGCGCGCATTGATCCGCGCTTTAATAACATCTCGTGGGACAAATACTCGGTGATAGTCCGCGTCAGTAGTGCCTTTAATTTTCTACCATTGTTGCGGTTTCGCTATTTTGCAAACGAGCTTTGAATACAGCAATTTGGGAATTAAGTAGTCGGTCTAGATAACTGGTGCTACCATAGACATTCACATTGTTGTCTGTTTTATTCAAACCAAGTTATTACAATGCATGTATGTAGGAATAAGAAATTTCAGATTTTGAGTGTGCATAATCGAAACGGTATCGACTTAAATTGAAATAGATGATGACTGTGATGAAATTCAAAATTTTTGATTGCGTAAGAATTGAAAATGATATAATCTGAGAGAGCCTTGTACGGATCTCCACAGAAAAGATTTTAATAGTAAACGACATGATTGTCTGCGGTTAAAGTTTCGTTTACGAAACAGATTTTGATATTTCAATTACACGAATTATTCTTTCATTGAACTGCACACGTGTTGCGACAAATAAATTATTATATTGGTACCGAAAGTATCGCTAATGAAGGTTTACGCCTATTAACAATTATGAGCCTAAGGCGAGATCGTGAACTTTACTGGCAATATTTCACAAGTAATATATTTTCGGTTTTATAGTCCAAAACCTGTTAATTTATTTTATGATCCTCGATGTTGTGTGAGATTTTCTTCTATTATGACAACCTTTATGTTTTGAATGCTATTGAGGTTATTGTGAAGGTAAAGAATAAATCGGAAGTTCTATGCGTAAGTTTGATTTGAAACTTGCACACATTAACAATATTTTGAAGATTGAAAAGTGTGTTAATGTCAGAAATGTCTATCTATTTATGCATGTTGCATTTGAAACATTTCTCAATTTATTGTGCATGCCTCAAATATGCAGATTCAAGCAAGTCTAGGAAAGAGCTTTCCTTGAACTGTTCACATGAAATTTTGAAATTGAATAAAACAGTCATAGCCGCACCCTCGACTAAAATGTCAGTTTTGTCTGTTTTATAGATGTCACCGGAAAATAACAAGACTCGTAAATTGATCAATTTTCTAGGTAGTTGATCAACTCTCGGAAAATAATAAACGGCATTTGAAATGTACTATTTAACGTATGTATTTTAGTAAGTTGATTAATTTACGGCGTCTTGCCGTTAAATCATCCGACAAAGGCAAGGTGCACGTTGATTGGTTAAAAGACTCACGTGCTTTTATACCGCTCCCCGCCACCCGCCGCCGCCATTACCGGTTTAAACGTAAACAAATCTATCTATTTTCTTTATTTACAGTAGTAAAATTAGCAATTGTTGTTTTGTGTGGTAATAATTCTCATTATAGGTAACGCGTCATTTTATTTATGATGAGTGAAATGGAGTCTGTAGTGGTAGAAATAAACAAACTTACTTATTATTAATATAACTTACAATAATAAAACTTTGAGCTCCAATATATTTTTTTAAACATTTTTCATTTATTACTATATAGCATAGACGAACTTTAATATCCCTATCTCTAAAATGTAAATATTAAAACAACATAATCTAAGTGTCTGTCGACCAATCAGAGAAAAGTGTATTAAGTGACGGATAATAGTGTACCGTCAAATAGTACACTGGGCAACGATTGGCCCATTTGTGGATGATTTTACTTGTAGCAATATAGTTAATTATTAAATTACGGCTAGGTACCGTAAGTTGACCAATTAGCGAAAATTCGATGCGTTAAATAGTACATTTCAACTGCCGTTTCTTATTTTCCNTAGACATTGCGTCATAATACGAGGCTTTCTCCTTATTCGGCATTTACATATAGGTACGCACTTTTCTGTTTGCTCTAAGAATTTCACCGTGACCGACCGTGGGCTGCGGTCATGGGGGCCGGCGGTAGGTAATTGGTGTCGCGGTAATTAACGGTTAGCCGATGGGCAATAAACACCTGTTAACGTTATTAAGTAAATAACCCTTTTTTAATTAATGCACAAGTGCATAACACATAACATCAATTAAGTTATGTTGTCAGATGATCGCTGTTTTTTATTACGAGTATGTTTGCAAAGTACGTAGTAGTCAATTGTTTTGCAATACTTATTAGTTTTAATTAATTACCGATATCTATTGTTTCATGTCATTACAATCTTACAACAAAAACCTCTTCAAAACACTTTTTTAATGTTAGAGGTCGTAATTACAGAACAATATTAATTTGATTAACAAAGAAAGGCTTAGAACACATGTTATCTCTAAGAAAAATCTTTTTAAATATCTTTACACGGTTCATTTACAGAGGCCATTGTCTACGTGTGTCAAGACGTCATAATGACAAATGAACAGCATACCAACCACTGTTACTGCTTACCATAAATCTTGCGGTGCTTTTAAAATTTCATAAAGGTCAAATATTCTTACACGCATTCCCTGGTAATGTACGAGTACAATAGGTCACTATTTCAGAAACACTGACACTGAACACCAATCAATAATATTCGACTAGAATTATGTTATTGGTTACCACCTCAGTTTAAATCTAGGTGCATGTGCAGAAGTTTATTTATTTATGTTTAATACGCTTAGGTATAAACAGTAGCCTTCCACATCTCTAAATTAAATAAGTGCCTAATTAAAGTTATGTATTTTTCGTCACATTGTTTTTTGGGTTAGATATTATTATTGCTGTGAGATTTCATATCTGTCTTTCAACATCCGAGTGCACAGTGAATCTCATCTCTTGTCAAATGCCTCACGTATCTTTTCACAAGTAACATACGTTGTTGACAAACTATCAATCAAAGTAATTAAATAAAAACTCGTGGAGATAACAGTAGTCCGAAGACCGGAATCGAGCTAGTCCATCGGGTTGATTATGCGAAGTGGCATGGTGGCCGTAAGATTCCATCGATGCATTTGGATGCAATTGCGCAACCAGCGCAACCGATGCGGTGGGTCGGCGGAATGCGCTGCCCGTTGCCACATCCTACAATACCAGTTCAAGGACGGCGTTATTATCAAATACAGTTTCATGAACGCACGTAACGTAAAGCTTTTGCGGTAACGTTGTATTAGATTAGGCGCTTAGTACCTACGAAGTGGAGATGCAATGTTTACACCAGACGTGTGAATGTGTTTAGCGCCTGATTTATTACTCTCGGGTAAAACATACAAGGTAAGTGTTAATAAGTAATATCTGAAACTTATTTCAGTTACCATTTTTTTTACTTTCGTAAAAAATAGTCAGCAATCGACCGAAATTACAGCTCAGGCGTTATCATAAAAAATGCTTTGCTTTCGCTTGTTTTTAATTACAAATCTGCCATGATTTTGCATTTTTGCATGCACAATCCTTTGAGTTTAAATTGTTTTTCGCAAGGTATCACGAAATAAAACAATTAAAATTGTGAAAGTTAGTGTAATTATTCCGAAAACATTATTGTCACATTGTGGTTACAATTAAGACATAATTCAACACAGAAAAGCAGTTGAGTATTATTAATTTTTAACTATTAATTCTAATAATTTGCAAGATTTTTATGTATGCTCGTGAATATTGTTTATTATGTGACTAGGTAAAACTCTGCAACATTAATTGGTATTTTTTACATCATCTCACTTTTATGACAGTAAGAAAGAAAAGTATACCTAAGTAATATCTAAGATATCCTAACTCTACCGCCATTTCATGAAGATTAATTTATTGGCACTATTATTATACTTAACGCTAGAGTATCTACAATTTGATAATTTATTCGTGATTGCAAAAAATATGTAATAGAGACATGTAAGGTGCTGATACACTTCAATGGTACCACATACATAGGTACCATCATAGAAAATTGTTCTGCGAACTATTTTATTGGAAAATAAATAAGTGTCTTTAATGTTTTTTTTAACTTTTAAGATAAGATAAGATAACATTTATTTCCAAGAATATGGTACAGTAGTTTGATCATAAAACCGGTTTTCTAACGTCTCTTGAAAGTGTGAGCTTTATAATAAACGCTAATTAACTAATTAATTATTATTTTTTGAATAATAAACCTTCTATAGCAATATACACGTTCCTATACATTTCATCTCAGTTTTATTTTATGAGCGCTTTAAGGGACAAGTTCGTAGCCGACTGCACGCAGCAGCAGCACGATACGTCACTTTCTTTGTATTTTTATGAAATACTTTCAGGCGACGTGTTGCTTACTACGAATGGTATTTCATAGAAATACATAGAAATCAGTAGAGTGTCGCTGCGACACGTCGTCTCCTGCTGCATCATGTCGTCCGCTTCCAACTAGTAAGTATCTTTAGTATTTAAAGAGATGCTTACACCAGCGTAAGGTTGAGTATGGTCTAAACCTAGAATACCTGTACAATAAAGAACTGTGCAAGGTTTCTTCTTACAACTTTGCTAGGCCAACCCTATAAGCGGTCAAATCCTAGGAGTAGTGGCGCCCTAACAGCCAAGCCATTGTAATGATATTTACTGGGCATTAGCAAATGGGACAACATAAAGCAGCTGCGCCAGATTGCTTCTTGCGTACTTCCCTCGCTGAGGGGCGCCGTGGCCAGGCCGGCCCCACAATGACTCCCAAGTCTCGTGGTGGCGTCGAACACTCTCGGCTGAACCCTTACGCTTTTCCTAAAAATATTGAAAGTGTATAAAGAAAATTGCCTAAAGTTCTGCAAGGTATCCGATAGTTTTTGCCCACAATAGAGATACTCCAATAGTAAGTAAATTATTTACCTCAATTTGTTCACATTTCACTTGCATTTGATGTTTCAAGTCTATCAAATATTGAGCGTCAATTTCTCGCCACCTGCAAAGAAATAAATATTAAGGTCTAATGTACTTAATGGGGATGTTGCCTGGGTCAAAAAGCAAGAGTTTTAATTAGTCCGTCAGTTAACTTATCAAAAAATACTCTACACGTATTTTTCACTTTTTCAAACTAATGAAAATTTAAAGAGATAAAGCGCCCCAAAGTTCATAAGAAGAGGCCCGTGACGTCAACGCTTGCTTAAAAATGCCGCACGTTGTGACGTCGTGCGCAACTTCAACGCACCATAACTATGTAATTATTTGTTAGATTGACAAATAAAAATATATGTGTCCAATATTTTTTGATATTAAACATTACGGACTAAAAAAATTTTTTTAGGCAATTCTCTATTCACATTTTAAACACCTCCCACGTACTTTACACGGCAATAAAACGGTAATAAAGAAAAATAACACTCTAGCCTCATCTAACCCATCAAATGATTAGCAGATTAACTTAAAACGATTAGTTTTACTACAGAAAAGGTCGGAAAGTTCAAACGGGTCTTCAAATCAGTATCATAATCTCCCAAATAATGTCAGTTATAGTTATCGGGATCCATCTCTCGCCGTCAAAGATCGTTATCTTGGAACGGTGGCGGATAGATTACTGTGTTAATGAAATCCGTAAATCTTCACATGCGGTATACCACGGTAGAAAGCTGTGACGCAATGCCATGTATCAATGGCGGTCGAACGTGACCACCGAGCGCTGGTGATGGTGGCCCGTCAATAACCGATGATTATCGGCGGGTCACGGTGACGAAAATGAAGTTCAAGTGATGAATGGTTCTGCTTTACACTTTTTGATTGCAGAATGAAATGTCTTAATGTAAATAATTAAAGCTAAACACGATTTCGGTTTATAACACCAACTGTACCTACTTCTTATGAATGTTAAGTTATTGATAAGAAAGCTAACAAACATCCGTAATGAGCGTGGGAGAGAGACATCGACGTCGATGACCCTAGTGTTTTAGTGTCAACTTGAAATAAATTCTTCGACAACGGCGTTTACGCAATATTTCCAAATTCATAGACCATGATTTAGAGAACTAAGCCTAGCGTTCACTAGAATTAGGCAAGACTTTTGACAAAAATTAATTTGAATTAGTTTTATACAAAGCCAGGGACATACTGTGAAAGAAAGATTTGCATATTTGCAATGTAAGTAATAATAATAAGGTTAAACTGACAAGGCTAATGTGTAAATATTGTTTTTAATATTAATATGAAATGGGTATGTTTGTCTTGTTATTATGCAAAAATATCTCAAACTAAGAGATTAAGCGACTCTGTTAATTTTTTTTTCTGAGTCTTGCTTAAGTTACATTATTTATTCGCAAACATGTTAGCTACTGGTACTATCTGAACTAAGCTTTAAAAGGCATGAGCATTATCAATTTCTTTTTTAATACGAGTACAGTGTACACTGGTTCGCATGTATAATCATTTTCTAAAAAAAAAGAGTCGCATCTCTGACCTCCGAGAATTAAAAGACTATTCTTTAAATTCACGTGCTTACATAGTTCGTAGGATTGCGCAAGGAATATAAATAGCGTGTCATATGGCAATTCTTTGAAACTGTCATCTAATGTCGTTTCGTCTCTTTTCATTTCATCACACGTTGTTTGATTTTTTATTGTTTGATACTTACTGGCAGTACTGGTCGGGAGGTCTGGTGACGTCACTCGACGGCAGCGTGCGCGCGCCGACCCGCCTTCTCCTCGCCAGGAGTGGCACGAGCTCCACCCCGCCCGTCACGCGAAGAATTGTCGCTTCTGGAGTCGGCTTCTTTTCTCCAACATTCACCGGCTCGACATTTTGACCCCTATCTACAACATACTCGTCGGAATCCTCGCTAGGCACAAACTTTTGGACTCTGTCTCCATTCGAGAGTCTTTTTACGAATTTGTTCTTCTTCGGACTACGTTTTCCTCTTGTTTTAACATTACTAGGCACTTCTTTTACCTCCTTTTCAACAACAATTTTCTTATGTTCTGGACTACCACTTTTTGAATGTTTGATCTCTGGCAACTTTTCTATATTTGAAGGTTTTGTATTTTCCTTTTCGGCTGAATCTCTCTCTTGTAGCTCTCTTGCATCATCGTCTCTCTTTACTTGAGGTAAAGTTAGCGAAGATCTTTTATAGAGTCTGTGATCCCCTTGAAGTTTTGTGAAAATTTCGTTATCTGTCCAACCCTGTAAACGATATGGAATATTAAAACTCTTTTAAGACTTTATCAGTGATAATTGATTGCTTTAAAATACCATCACCATAGACTTTGAGAAATTTAGACCAATGTCTCGGGGGTTCCTCCAAACTGCTCCGCCCGGGCCTGGTTTTCCCCAAGGCCCATCCAAGGTGTGCTGAAATTATTGTTATAATAATTCAGTATACATTTCACACACATAGTTTACATGATTTTGTTATTTTTACCATTCTGCGTTCGTAGTCCAGAGTCTCCTTGATTTCGTCTTTCATGGCTCTCCTACGGTTTTCAACCATCTCATCTAAAATCATTATTTTTAAAAACTTAACTTACAATTATCATAAAAAACAATAAAACGTAATCATTATAAATTCCGATGATTAGCAGTCCTCTATGGTATACGGCACGCCTACGAGCTTTCTTCTTTAGTAAATATTCATGGGCTTATTATGACAAATTGCTTTTAGCACAACATGGCTATTGTTATTTGATACCCAAAGGTATATATTTAAATAAACATATTTCAAGTCGGCTTAGAAATTTACTTGTATCGGTCACGTTTATCTACTTCTCAAAGAAAGAAATGTTTGACTTGTCTAAAGAAGAACCTTTAAAATTAATAGGTAATTTATTCATTTGTTATTATGAAACCAACATCCAGCAATGGACTTTTTGAGGCGTTGGATTTGTTTAAAAAATTTAAAAGTAAAAACTAAATAATGCGACTCTACCATTAATTTTATTTATTCGTAACTATTAGGGCTGCAAGATGCTCTTAGGCTGCTCTATTAAAATTACCGGTAGAGTTTAAGTTTGCTCTGAAACCTCTTGCTAAAACAAGAATGGGTACTTTTCTCTGGGATGTTTTCCCTCATAACTGCTTTAATGAATATGCTATCGTATTTCAGCGGCGTTGAAATCTAATGTATTAGTCCTTTTAGCCTAGTCTTGTTGCTCTCATTCTAGCCTTGATGTCGCATGTACCTAAGATTTCCCTGTAGCTCTGTTGCTGAGTGGGCGTCTGCTTGTACCGGACGTCGTTGTCGATGGTCTTGCGCAGGTTCTCGGCGTAGCACAGCTGCGGGTCTTCGCGCAGGCGCAGCGGCGTGCGGCGGTAGCGCCGGCGCGGCGTAGGGAAGCGACGGCACGCCTCGTACAGGGCTGTGCCCTGGAATATGAGCGCAAAATAGTCTTAAGCTGAGTTGCACCATTTTACTTTAACTTTGACAAACGTCAAGTCTGTCAAACTCCATACAAAAAACACCAGTCATCATCAAAGTTAGGTGGTGCAACTCAGCCTTAAGCTCTCAATAAGTTTCGTGGCTCAGCCTAGTCTTTTCCTTCTATGGGATCTGCCAAGTTATCGTTCGTTTCAGCTAAATTACGTCCATTGCTGGACAAAGGCCTCCCCCAAGGATTACCACAAGGACAGGCCCTGCGCTGCCTTCAACCTGTCAAGTTAATTGTATACCAATTTCGTATAATTGGTTTAAAGTTTAAATCGTTGTTGTAAAAATAACATACAAAAGTAACATGTAAAAAATGATTCAATTTGTGTCAAATACTTAGTCATTGACTGATGTGCGATTAAAAATAATAAACTTACAACCACCATCATAATCGTCGCTATGATGACATAAAACGAAGGGCGTGCAGCAGAAACTTTCCGCAAATAGTTTAGTTTGGCAAGCAAATATTAAATAATGTTATTATTAGGTACATACAAAAAAAAAGTGTTATGTCAACAATTTTCATATCCTCTACCAAGAATTGGTCGCTCAATTGCGCGTTTCTTTATTCATTGTAGTTACGTCACAATACGGAGCCTCCTGGTAGTACGCCAGTGACCCTTTACCATAAGAGATTTATCGCTTTCGCATATTTATGAATATACTAAGTGCCCATAAGCCAATATAAAGGAAAAGCAACCGCACAGGATGATCGATTACAAAAACTTGCATGTTCCACAAAATTATGAAGACAAGCAACATCACGTAATCATCTCTTGACATAAATAATGATGAAAGAGCTCTTATGTAGGTTTATTGAAAAGCTCTACCGATATCAATTTTCACGGTACCTAGTTTGCATGGCATGATTCATTAATACGAGTACTTATCAATAATCGAGCTTATATTTTAATAATGATATAAAAATCCGTTTAGTAGTTGTCGAGAATCCGTTTAGGAGGGAATACTACAATTTTGAATATCAAAAATTTAAATGTTCAAATAAGACCTTGACACCAGTTTTCACTTAATTGTAATCAATGTATAGAATCATACTGCCAAAAGTTATATGTGCATACTTAATGATCAATTAATTAATCCCCTTGTTCATAGAGTAGGTACTATAATTTATTCTCATATCAAGCAGTTAGTGCTTAAGTTCAACAAATGACCTTTCGTTACCAGCAATAGGTCAAGCATATCGATGCCATGTCATATCGGTTTCATTAATTTAATTCGACTCCAAATCAATAACAATGCATACTTTATTGGAATAATTCATCAAACCAATACCAAATTGATTTCATTCATCAAAAGTAAGTGAGTACTTAAGTTAGTCCGCGCCAAAAAACTTCGCGCAATCTTGTAAACAAATAAGGCCTCTTACATAAAGACCGAATTATCAAGGTGTATCTGTAAATCTAAGTCGTTAGATACGTTTTTTTTCCAGTAAGATAATGATGAATTTAACATTTCATACTTATATCAATTTAAAGTGGATTTTCTATAGATTCTATTCTTTGTACCTACTACAGTAGGTACTACGTCGTATGAATCTACTGTACGCCTGTTTCCCATATTCAAATTTAATTCAGTTTTAGATTAAATATCTACAATTTTCGTTGCGTTTACACTTTAATATTGTTTAATAAATAGTCTTACAACAATATAAAAACAAACAATATAAAATGAAAAAATATTGAAAACCGAAGATATTTGGACCAAAAACATATTGAAAATTGTCAGTTGACGGACGGATTTGGGTTAGGATTGAATAGAAATCCAGCATTAGTCGACAGTGCTTTGACTCTGTCATCATCTCTCCAACTTATGGATGGAAAATCTTGGGTAGTTTCGATGGTAAAAACCTACCCTAAGCTCGTCCTCAGGGTAGATGCCCCTGGTGCGAAGGTTGGTGAACCGGACGCCGCGTGCGTTGGGCGCTCCGCCCCCCGCGCGTCCCCACGGCTCATACGACGCCAGCTCTTCTCGGGCCTGCAACAGTCAACAAACATGCTTGTCGTGGGTGTGGGTAAAGCCTACATTACAATCTAATTGAGGAGCTGCTCCTACTACCTACACCCACTTAACTACAGTCAAGCGCTCATAAATATTATGTAGACAAAACGATCAGTTACGTTACTACTGGCAAGTTGTCATTTATATCATTTACGCTCGTGTGTGCTTGTAATTATTTAATTATTACATTATTTCATTGAAGAAGATGTCATTCATTATCCATTTTGAGAAAGATAAATTAGCGGGGAAAAAAGCTGAAGTCAGAATGCAACCTCACACGCTTTATAAAATTCAAGCTCTCCTTACTTGGGTTTTAGATTACTTATTTCGTTTTATCCGTTGTTACTTGAATATTACTTGCATCTAAACAAAGCCAGTTTTCTATAAGGAGTTGTTACAAAATAACTTCAAATTAGGTATACGTGTATTATGCACCATAATTTTTGGTGTAGTTTTAGGAACGCAATGAAGAAGTTGATTGACATCCATGTACGGAAGGAGTACCAACGCATTCCAACTCCAAGTGACACAGATTTAAGTGGGTCAAGGAAACACAAAGGGCGCGTGGTAGGTAGTAGGTACCTAGTAACAATCAGAACTTTACAACTGTCTTAATGTTTTCAAAGTTAATTAAACAGAAAATAATTTACTAAGCACATCGAGCACAATTACTTACTAATTATGAATTATTCGTATGCTTAAGTCCTTTTGTGTCCTCGTACGATCTCTAAAAACAATTTAGTTACACAATGGCCTGTAATAGAATAGCGAAATTGACTAGTGCAATGAACTAGTAAGCCACAAATTGCCAGCCTCTACCATGTACTGGATGTAACGAGCTGACATCACCACATTTCTCTGGTTTCTCTGCACGTAACGTGTCGTTAAAGGCTGGCGTCCACACCTCCCGCCTACGCAATATTAAGTGAATCTGCTTTATTATGGTGCCGTATGTTTTACAATTTTATAGAAGGAAATGTGTAATCATGGACATCTACTTATGTACGGAGATTATACAATATCAGTAATGTGCTGTAAATACTATGTATGTTAATGTGTGTGTGTACCTACCTCTCGTAGTAAATACTTAGTAAATTAAATGACCTTGCATGACATAATTTAAATCGTGCTCTATTTGTAAGCAAAATTATCATCACAATTTTGATCGTTTCATGGATGGCAGAATGTTCAGAATTGATGCAAAAATAAACGACAGTTACTAAGGCTGGGTTGCACCATTTTACTTAATTTTGATAAACGTCAAAAATCTGTCAAACTCCATACAAAATACACCGGTTATCGTCAAAGTTACGGTCAAAGTTAGGTGGTGCAATTCACCCTAAGACTGGTATGAAAACTTTTAACAAACGTTAAATTTTTTAAAATTAAATAAGGTAAACGGCTACTAGTTCGTGATAGTACGTAAGTTCGTAAGTTTTTTTTCTAGCTCAAATAATAAGCAAATGGAATATTATTTATAAAAATTCTTCATTACTACAAAAACTCTATTATTTAAGCTATCTAAAAAACCAAGTACCAACATTGTGGCGCCAAAAATGAGAGCAATACGAAGCTTCAAACTCTCAGAGAGCCAAAAACAGCCGTGCGGTGTGCAAAGGTTGCTCTCACCGTAAGGTTAGCGCTCCAACTTCTTAAGCTTATAAAAAGGCGAAGGAACGTCCATTTAAATAAAACTTGTAATAGTGGTTTCATGTGTTCCTTGACAATTGATTTGGCTTAGAAAAAAGTTATATGAAAACGTAGAATTCCTTTAAAATTGCGATTAATTGACTCACGAAATAGCGTNATCGACAATTTCACATAATTATTTTATTCTAAATTTTTATTATCGTTTTTAAATTTATTAAACCCTTAATCATTACTAAAATATCCTAACTGGATGCATAAAACCTTATCCCGAAATAGGGGACATGAGTTCACGAACTTAGAAACAGAGCAAAATTTTGTCACGAAACAGGATCCAAACTAGAGGTCCGCAGAACAATTAATATAAAAAAAAGTTCAAACTATATAACTATAAATTATGTATTAACTTACTGTCAAAAGACCAAAGTTTAGCATACAAAAGCTTTCATACTGATATCATGCTTGGTTATTTTTAAATAAAATGTTAAAGTCGTAAGAGCCTTAATATACCGAAGTAGGAGGCACTTACCTTATTGTTTTAAATGTGATGAAAAAATTGTCGTTTTAAACCAGTTGTTTTTTCAAGATTTTTCTCATTATTGGAACCTATTGTAGGTAAACAATGTGTTTTACGACCTCCAATGCTCCGTCGAACCAAGTTCCTCCTGTTTGTGTGACTTAACGCATCGTTATGAGTAAGCTTTCACTGTTGTATTGGCAGAATACACAATTGGATGTTGAGGTTATTTCCTTTTAAAATTTCTCTTTCATAAACTTTAGAGCACTAGTGTTTAAATGCCAACTATTGCCAACTAAACTATTTCAAACCTTCCTATCAGTTTGAAGCTATGAAACCATCTTCAGCTGTGAAGAAAATTTTACAATTTATAGAGTTCGTGCAAAATGGTGTTTCCGTTTAACATACTTAAAGTAAATATTCGACTCATAGCAGCTTATTTTGTGCTTTGGTGAACATATTATATGTCTATCAATATTTAAAACTAAACAACGCCATTTTAGAACATACTAATTGGTAGTACAATTTTCAAGGGTCACTTGCCCAGCATAGAGCATATAGCTTCAATTTGGAGGTGAAAATCATGTAAAAATACAAAATTGTTTGTACCATACCTGTCTCTGCTGCTCAACCTTATCCCGGGCCCGTTGTTCGCGGCGCTCGCGCGCGAGCCGCTCGCCCTCCGCTCGCGTTTGTTCGGCGCGCCTGCGCTCGCGAGCCCTGCGCCGCGCCGACCCGGATGTCGGAGCACTGAGCCTCCTAGAAATTATAATTAATTATCTTTTACTATTTAGTTACTTTATTCCGTGATAAAATACATTGCCTAAAAAGACATTAAAGTCCGCCTATCTCTATCTGCCAACGAGGTGAAGAAGAAATTGCAGCTCTATCGTGTTACCAACTCTTAACATTAATTTAATAGTGGTTCGAATACTAACTTGTAATTTATTTAATTAATATGAATTTTATTATAGTGTTAAAAGTTACATCTCAGAAAGCGATTTTTATGATTCAAATACCCTGAACTGCATTACTTGCAGCACCTTTGCGGTGGGGTGCGGTAAACTTGCCGACAAGACAGCCTTAGACAAATCAATATTTAAAACCGCGGCGGTATTTAAGAGTCGTTAGAAAAGTCAGAAAATAATGGGCGATGAAGTACTAAACCGTCATTAAATTTTGAAGTTGAGAGCCCTCTGTGCTTTTCTATGCCGGTGAAGTTGCATATGCCGCCTACATTCTATAAAGTGGCTGTCAGTCTTCACAGTCCAAAAATAACTTATTTCATTAATATTCTGACCACGACAATCACGATAGACAGTGAATAGTTTGAACTTTTACATCAGCATCAGCTAGGACAATTTTTGTCTTGCGTCTATTTTCATCCCACCACAAAAAGCTGGGTGCTACAATTTAACGGGTGCTGTATTGTTTGTCTGTTTAAATAAATAATAGCTAGGTAAAAAATACTGATTTCTAACTTAAACTGAACCTTTAATTAACTTAACTAACCAAAAGCTTAGACTTCATAGAGTTCACCATGTTTTATTTAGGTAGATACTACAGTCGTTTCGATAAATCGTAGAGTTAGAGCAATGATGATAGGGCTTAGCTATCACAAAGTACAGTCGACAACGCATCAGACCATAGGTACATTTTGGTTGCAAAATGGTACCTGTTCAAACTACATTAGATGCTATAGTGTTAATAGCTTTATATGCCGTCGTCTAGGTACCTACTGCCTAATTTCAACTTTGTATGGAATTCTAAATTACCTTCGAATGAAAGCGTCTAGACTCAGGCTTTGCGGCGTGACCTAGTGTTCATTAAGTACATATTTCAGTAGGCCTCGTGGGCTTTGTACACGGTGAATAGAATAGAAAAGAAAGGAGAAACATTTATTTACCGCACAAGAAACACTATCAACCGTTTCCAATCTTGTTAGCCTTCAATCTTTCATTATTTGGGCATATTCAATACAATACCGCTCAGACACTTATGAAAAGCCTAATAATAAATCATTCTGATGAAGCTTTTAGCTTAGTAAGACTCAAATTAAAACAATATAAATGATAATTCATATCGCGGTAAATTAGCAGTTTCCCAACATCAGTTTTTAATTAAGCCTACCCGTTATTAAAAATCATCATCTCATTGCGTAACATATAAAGGTTAAGCTGTCGTAGAAAAACTGTGACACCAAATTTTTGAATACGGAAGAGTAAATCTAACGGCAAATTATAGAAGATGTACCGCCCAAACCGGTATCCTTCCGTTTGGCCAAATTACTTTTCGCCAAATTTCACTTCGCAAACAACTTATCGCCAAAGTTTCATTTCCCAAATAAACTTTTAGCAACTGTACTTTTCGCAACTAATTCATTTGGTCAAATTAACATTTAGCCAAATTTTACTTGGCAAATGTTTATATAGCAAATGTTTTATTTTGCCAAATATTATATCCCAAATAATTTGCTTGGTCAAATTGACACTTCACATACTTACGAGTGCCCACCGTTACCCACAAATCAAAGCATAAGGCACATGGTCATGGTTTTCACAATAATTTTATGTAAAACAGAGAGATTGCAGAAAATAGTATGGTTGCAAAAAGTAGGTATTGTAGAAAATAGTAGGTTAGGTTAGGTTAGAACAGTGACCCTTAATGCGCGAAGGCGAGCGAAGCGTGCCGCGGCAGCGGCCGCCGAGCGCTAGAATCATCTCTATTGTTAATGAATCATTTGGAAATTTCGATAAAAAGAATGAAATATGAAAATTTATTTAGAAAAATTTTTATATTAACTACCCACTAAACAAAATAATAACCACAAGCTAATTTGTATTCCATTCTATGCATCAATCATATTGTTTTGTAAATAGTTTACCTATCGCGAAATATTTTTGCCAAATGAAACATTTGGCAAAACATACTTTGCCAAACAATAATTTGCTAAACAATAATATGCCAAAAACGACATTTGCGAATTAAAAGTTTGCAATAAGTTGTTTTGCCAAATGAGAATTTGCCAAATAAAAATTTGCGAAACGTTGTTTGCGATGTGATAATTTGGGAAACGTTTTTTGGCCAAACATTAGTAATCCGCCCAAACCGCTTACCTACGCAGCCGCCGAGAGCGCAAAGCAAACATTTAAACTTTGGTTTCACTTGTCCCAACAAAGACGTTCATATCACAAAGCCTGTTATGATGTAACAAACTCTTAGAAGAATGATGGGGAAAAAGGTGAAGACACTGAGGCAGATCATACTGCGGTGGGCTAAGCCGGGCGGCAGTCACCCGCTACTGGAAACTTCTGAAATGACTCGCGGCTGAAACTCGCGTGGCGTACACGCTTCGTTGCGCGTTTCCTAAAAGCTCTCCGGCACGGGAAAATGACGGATGAGTTGATATTATCATGTAGGAATAAAGGACTGTCGTTATTGAGGGCTGTTAGTTAGTTAAAGGATATCATACATATGTAGGCTCTACCAACTAAGTGGGTATCTTCATTTTTTCTGAAACCATCAAGAAGTTACTTTTAATAAGCACAAGGTAGGTAGGTAGGTACTTTATGTTTGTGTGAAAAGTACGAATAAAATAATTGACGTCTGAAACAGTTATTGTCACGCCTAAAATCTAAGTAATTTAATTTTCATAAGCCTAATTCCAAAACCTAATTCATTAAAATTCATGAGTTTGAAATAAACTAAGAAGAGCGTGTGTATAATAGAATGAAAATTATGGGATCTATCGCTATATAAATCGTCCACTAAAAACTTTGGAAGCAGAAATAAGAAACGTAAAAAAAAACGTGAAGTAACGGTAAAGTTGTGGCAGACTAAACATGAATTAATGTAAGTACCTAAGCTGGAGGTGCAAAAGAAACTTTGTTGCGGTACGCTATAAAGGTGGTTGAACGAAATTCAAACTGCAATCTACTTTTCTACAAATTCGAACTAGTGCACACAAATGCTATCAATCTAATTTACCAATGAGTAATACATTTTCTATAAACTTAATGTCGACGAACTTACACGTTTACTTAATGGTGCAAGTTGCAGTTGCTGCAATCGACACATTATTACTATTTTAACAATACATACCTACACCGAAGTTACTATCACTCAAATTAAGGCTTAAATATTTTTTATCTACTACGATTGCATGATGGAATTTAATTTTATCACACCAAATAAATCTATATAACAGTTGAGGTACTTTTGATACGTGTAGCCCTAACCACGGCGCGGCCGCTTTGAAGTTTTCTAGATCACGCCAACATTTTGCAAATCATGATTCATTGTCCTTCGTATTCGGGTAAATATGTACATTTATATGACTTCAATAAATGGTCGCTCGTAAGTAGGTAGGTCGTTGCCAGCAGCCTTAATAACATCGATACAAAAATGTTTTCAAAAACTGAAAAGTAAGCCAATTACAAAAAAGATGTTCAGGTACGAACTTACGTGTAATTCGGTAAAACGATTGTCTTAAACATGAGTTCACTTTTTAGTTTAATGGCTTAAATGATCAAATCACAAATCAAAGCTGAAGACATTGCCCACTGGTATTTTGTTGGAATACGAAGACGCACTGAATTCGCACAGCAGTAAAAAGCCGGCAAAAAGGTCGAGCCATATTTTATCGTAAATCAATATTGCAAAAGATAGCCTTGATTTCACAATTGGGGATTTGCATAGGGCGATGTCACCTTTTTCTCGTATTTGCAAACATTCATGGTACCCATTTCGTGTCATTTGATACTATAACTTCAGCACCAATTGTAGAGTCAACATCTCACTCTTAGAGTCGGTTTATTGAATATTTGTTTGAAATGATACATAAAAACCTAAACCTAGGTAAGTATATCTAGTTAAAGTAATCTTTCTATGTACTTTAGTCTATGATTGGATAAAAAAACTTACCATCCAATTTCTTTACAGTAAATGAAGTTCTGAGTCCGCGCTGTAGCGTAATTCGCCATTAATAAGGTACTATTAATTTACACTCCTGTACTTAAACTTTACCCGAAATTACAACAATACAGTGTTTGGATATACACCCAGAATATTATACCAGATCAACATTTTCAGAAACAGACTTGTGCCCTAGGTAAAGCGAAGAACTAAAGTAACATCTGAAGTCCTAGGTACTGAATGTGGTCTGACTAGGGAACTAACAGCGTAAAGCATTTTAATATTAGATAATAGTGCCTGCCTATCGCGTGAGCTTACGCCAGTAAATTTTTAATAATATAACAGCAGTTGAACGTAAAATTTATAAGTACCTACCGAACAAAGCCGGATTTGAAGGAATATAATTTGCTTTACAAATTGCCTTAGAAAACTTCCTACTGACAGAGTTAATGAAAATGTTCAGCATTGAGACTCTACAGCAATGAAATAGCAATTTTACTTGCGGATGTAAATACAATTCTATAAATAAATGTTAATAAAATAACAAAATGAACGACATCCAATATTAATAAATTCTGCTGACAAACGTAACAGAAAAATAAAGATATGACTGACCTAGTTTTATTAAATTTATTTTAATTCAAACTTTTTTAAAGTATATGATGTGTGGTAGGCACCAAATGGTGCGTCGTAGAGGCACTGCAGTCCCAAGCGAAACGAAAAGATTAAAGGCAACGATTTTCAGACTCTCAACTCGTGACTGATTGCTCTTACGTAACTTGAAACAACAAACTACAGGCATAGGTACTAGAAATACTTTTCATGGTTAGGCCAAAACGATGGGTAAGGGAACTAGCTAAAGGCAAAGGCTTCTGTCGTCATATTTTCGTCTTTATTTGGTATTGAAAAAGACTTTCAGTGCCAAAAACATTCTGTTCCTTAGGTTTTCAGCTATGTTCTAAAAGCTGTAAATTAATTCAGGATCGGTCAGTGGAGTTATTATCACCTACTTTAAAATAATTAGTGGTATATGTCAATCAACATACCAATTTGTTTTTCCTAATTACACCGATTCAAATTACCAAAAAAGGGCAAAGGTATACGTTCCCATACAGTTTTTCAGGTAGCAGCAGTGGTCCCGGCGGTGCCGGGCGCCGCTGGATCGATACCCGCGAGCACGCAGGACACATTCCTATTGCAATCATAACATGGACGGATGGGTGTGCGAAATTGGGTCATGCACGTTTGCGGAAACGATCGGAATTCAAGGATTTGATTATTGATTTGGAAGGTTCTTTGTTATTTGGATTAAGTATAGTAGCGTAGGTAAGTTTTATTGAATTATATCTCATTGGTTGCATAAAACAAGTTGAACTTAAGTACTATGTACGAGTAGAATACATAATACATAATGAAGTCGGTTGAAAAGCCGTGAGTACATCATCATCATCAACAGCCCTTTACAGTCCACTGCTGGACTATGGGCCTCCTCCACTATAGTGGAGGGTTTTGCCATAATCTCCACGCTTGGCAGGCGGGTTGGAGATCGCAGTTTAAAAGATTGATGTTTTTCAGAGAGCGCTGCTGCCCATTCTCTGTTTGATGTGTAGTCCCTAAGTCGCCTCTTACGACACCCGCGGGAAGAGTAGGGGTTGGTGACAAATGTATTCTACTCTGCCGTCACCACACGGCTACATAATGTAGTACGTGAGTACATAATGTAACTCATTAATAAACGTCGCGTTAAGACCCGTGTCTTACTATTTTAGAGATGTACGAGTAGAGCCTGTGGGTAGAGTTCTAGGATCTCAGTAAACGGGCTAAGTAACTAAATCTAGTATTATATTAGCTGTGCCTAAAAATATTTCGTTTACCTATGTCTTCTGCTGCTGATAGATATTAAAAAATAGTTATACCTAGTGAGAATCTTTTAAAAAAATGTGCCATAGGTCTTCCATTGCTGAAAACAGCCCCTCTACACCAATTTGTTATTGGCAGATTCTTCTGAACACGTCATGAGTTGTCCCGTCTTGCTGGAACGTACTTTGAAAGATAAGACCGTAATTGAAATTTCCACTTCATCAATTGAAGCGAAAACTTCGATTACGAAGCGTTTTCATGATGATCTTTTCACATTACTAGGATCAAATTGAAAAAATATCGTCTCTTTTTGGGGTTCCAAGTTTTGACGTAACGAATTATATTGCGTTTGCGATTGCTATAAGCAATATCTTAGGAAATTGTCATGAAGATGCCCACAATAAACTACGCGTTATACAGGATGTAATTTTTATACATGATCAAACAAAAAGGGTCGATTCTACTACTCAAATAAAACTACTTTTTCTACATAAAACCTGTAGGTATTTATGGAAAGGAAAATAAAAGATTGTCATTTCTGTATATTAGATTCTTTTTCATTAATTACTACAACGCATTTAGGAAAAATGTGATACGGAACGTATTGCCGATAAACTGCGATTGCAAAATGTACCTGCTTTGTAAATAAATAAATAGAAATAAAACAAGATTCTGTAACTAATATTTATATTAAAAATTATTCATGATTTAGCATTTTACAGAATAATAATATTTACAAACAATATGAGCTACGTACATGTCTACATACATATAAATAAAATTCATTGACTCCCTTTTAACATTTAATGTACAAAAATCATACATCTCCATCTCCATTTATTGTTTGGCTGGCACAATAACCGAGATACAATACACGTATAATTTCACCTGAAGTTCGTTGTACAATTAACTCCCTAATTTGAATTCGTAAAACTGCAAGCCTTTGAAGCACGAATAATTTAACTAATCTATCGCCCGAGCTCCTGGGCGCTGTCCGCTGTGGCGAGGCCTGGTGCAAGGCTTGGAGTTTTACAAAGGCGTACCCACATCAGTCATTGTGTCCGCCTACTCTAATTGATACCTTATTAATGACTAACATTTTGTTAAATAAAAAGAACTTCATGAAAAGTTTCAGAAATACTGCGCTCTTAGTGCATGTCTTGTGTACATTTCTGTACCGATAGTATGAATATATTTTTTTTATCATGGTCGATAGAACCTATTGTAACATTATTATTTATTTACAATTCTATTACTAATTTACCTAATAATGTTTATAAGTTCTTAACGGTTTAACAATTTTGCCTAAATATTGTGCGGCCTCGTACAAAACTTACAATTTAATACTACAACAGAACATATACACCTCTAGTATGTAACGTGTACACTAAAGAAATTGAGGTAATTGGTTTTGAAGATAAACGGGTAACTTATCCAATGACTCTCAGTATTTACACAGCATCAACTTAACAACAGCCGAACACGAGCAAGTGAAATCCACACTAGGATCAATTTTGTGATGAATCGATTTGACAATGTGCGCGAACACACAGGGACTCTACACTACACCTACAAGATTGCACGACTCGAGGATAGAGGAACGAAGGGAACGAAGTCGAGGAGACAGTATGCACATTACAACGTCATCAACATGGCTCGGTACAACGCTTCGGCGGTTCCTTCGAACCGGTCGCAGATAGTTCACGGTATTTCAAATACTTTCGTAGAAAACTATCTTAAATTAAATCAGGTCACACAAGTGAGGGATACATACATAAAAAAGTACAAACATACAATATAAAACTTTACACAATGCTATACGTACGTATATAATATAAATAAATATATGATACGTCGCGGGAGCGATGTCAGCGATCCGGACGCACGGGCCGATCGGTGATAGCAAAATTATATGTTTATACGAATATAATTCGTTAAATCGTAATATCAGGGCGCACGGTATAGCTTGACGTAATATCTAGAGACAATATCTCGCCGCGTCGGCGCCACTCACACGCATCGAGCGTCTCACTCACAGTCGCGGCACTCGCGAATGTCACTGTAAACGGTTCAAAAAGTGTCACGTGGGAAGCTGTCACGTGGGGTAGGCGCGTGGGAGGTTACTTGATCCGGTTGAGGACGAGGTCGGCGGTGACGACGAGCCCCTTCTGGTAGGGCGAGTCGGCGAGGTCGGCGGCCAGCCGCGCGGCCTGCGCGCCGTGCTTGCGCGCCAGGAAGCGCGTCTGCTCCAGCCCGCGCGACTTGTGCACCAGCTCGAAGGCCTTCTGCACGTCGCCTGGCTCCTGGAACCGCCTCATGATCATAGGGTTCAGCTCCGGGTACTGAAACAAGGGAAGGTGTTATGGGTTAGGCTAAGATCAGACACGCGACGACGTAAAAAAATCTTTACTGGTTCGTTTATATGATCATGCGTGCAATAAAATATTCTCACAGCTCGACCGATGTATGCCCGGGCTTCGCAACGGTCTCTTCCTACACTCGCCTCCTGGCAATGTGGGCCGCTTCTTATCTGCTTAAACTCATAACTCATCATTGTCCAGAACTCCTAAGGATTTGATGAGTGCTACTGACAACGCCACTCTTGTGGCGGAGTTTTGGGCTGACACTGTGTAGGTTTGTTGTCGACACGCCGAGCCCAGCTTGAGGTCGGCCGCGGTGGGTTTGCCCATGGCCTGCGCGGACGACACGAAGTCCAGCAAGTCGTCTACCAACTGGAACGAGAGCCCGAGGTTGCGCCCGTACTGGAAGGCGAGCTCGCTGGCAAACCGGACTCACGTGCAGCTTATAGCGCTCGATTGCTTTTCAGCTTGAACTCACAGCATCTCAGCTAGCGCTAGACTGTTTTTCAGCTAGAACTCGCAGCATCTCAGCTAACGCTAGACTGTCTTTCAGCTTGAACTCACAGCATCTCAGCTAGCGCTAGACTGTTTTTCAGCTTGAACTCGCAGCATCTCAGCTAACGCTAGACTGTTTTTCAGCTTGAACTCACAGCATCTCAGCTAGCGCTAGACTGTTTTTCAGCTTGAACTCACAGCATCTCAGCTAGCGCTAGACTGTTTTTCAGCTCAAACTCATAACTCATCATTCTTTCAACTCACCTTTTCGCAAGCGAAGAGAACGGGCGCAATAGCGAGCCCCAGCTTGAGGTCGGCCGCGTTGGGCTTGCCCATGGCCTGCGCAGACGATACGAAGTTTAACAAGTCATCCACCAACTGGAACGAGAGCCCGAGGTTTCGCCCGTACTGGAAGACCAACTCGCTCGCAAACCGGACTTACTTGCAGCTTATAGCGCTCGACTGTTTTTCAGCTTGAACTCACAGCATCTCAGCTAGCGCTAGACTGTTTTTCAGCTTGAACTCACAGCATCTCAGCTAGCGCTAGACTGTTTTTCAGTTCAAACTCATAACGCATCATTTCTTCAACTCACCTTTTCGCAAGCGAAGAGAACGGGCGCGGTAGCGAGCCCCAGCTTGAGGTCGGCCGCGGTGGGCTTGCCCATGGCCTGCGCGGACGACACGAAGTCCAACAAGTCATCCACCAACTGGAACGAGAGCCCGAGGTTTCGCCCGTACTGGAAGGCGAGCTCGCTGGCAAACCGGACTCACGTGCAGCTTATAGCGCTCGACTGTTTTTCAGCTCAAACTCATAACGCATCATTTCTTCAACTCACCTTTTCGCAAGCGAAGAGAACAGGCGCAGTAGCGAGCCCCAGCTTGAGGTCAGCCGCGGTGGGCTTGCCCATGGCCTGCGCAGACGATACGAAGTCCAGCAGGTCGTCTACCAACAGGAACAAGAGCCCGAGATTGCGCCCGTACTGGAAGGCGAGCTCGCTGGCAAACCGGACTCACGTGCAGCTAATAGCGCTGTTTTTAGCTTGAACTCACAGCATCTCAGCTAGCGCTAGACTGTTTTTCAGCTTAAACTCACAGCATCTCAGCTAGCGCTAGACTGTTTTTCAGCTCAAACTCATAACGCATCATTTCTTCAACTCACCTTTTCGCAAGCGAAGAGAACGGGCGCAGTAGCGAGCCCCAGCTTGAGGTCGGCCGCGGTGGGCTTGCCCATGGCCTGCGCAGACGATACGAAGTCCAACAAGTCATCCACCAACTGGAACGAGAGCCCGAGGTTGCGCCCGTACTGGAAGGCGAGCTCGCACGTGCTCTCGTCCGCTCCGCTTAGTAAGGCCACCTGGGGAATACAACGAGTCATCATAACCATCATCAGTCTGTGTACTTACCATGAGTTTATGTTTGAAGTGCTCACTAGGGAGTGCGTCAATAAAATCTATGAAGATTTTTTTTCGAGAAAAGCTGCAAGGGGCTTTGAACAATCTTCTGTCATTTTAATGAAATTTTTTTAAGCAATCGCTAGTGAGCACACCTAATGTTAGCTGATCATTTTAGTCTCCACGCAGGAGCACGACTCTCTCTCTAATTTACCAGCGGCAAATCAAAGATTTAGCCTACACTTCCCAAGGTGGCAGTATATTTGTTTCGTAGTCACCTTTTACAACTTTTACGATATTTTAAGAATGTGTGTGGTCATAATCTACTCTGCGGGCCACCACAACCACAAGATTTGACACGAGTGTGTGTCAGCCACGAATCAAATTGAATATTTGTGACGTAAACAAGGTTAAGGTTACAACGGATTGCGTTATTGTAAATGTTAACGCAATGCAATATTGCGTTTGACATAAAAATGTTACTCCTTTAAAAAGATCTTCATAGTGAAGATAAAACATGATGAACACCAGGTTCACTATTAATATTTTGATGAAATAAAATAAAATTTCCTGAAAATTAAGCTAACCCGCTATGGTGATTGACTTTAAGACACTGCTCTTTTCTTGCATTAATTTAAGTTCCGATAGATGTAAAATTAAATAAAAACATTATTTCAGCATTCATATGTGTGACGATTACAATAAATAGGTAAAATTACATTCAAACAAGGAAAACATTATGAAATAAGTTGATAAATTGTTGAATACTAGTAAGTTAATAGTCATGCTACATCCTTGTTCAGTCACCTTCGTTTTAGGTTATTCCCACATATTATTATGCATGAATTTAACACAAATTGTATTTATGATGCGAACGTGAATATCATTTTATAAAGGACAATAAAGATGTCGTGGTCACTTTTTTACTTTTTGCTAGACTGCTAGAGCGATCTTACATGATTACAATGTCAGAACAAGATCAAAGATTTATTTAATCAAAAGTAATTTAAAAATTAATAAACAATAAAAAGATATAAAAATTAAGAATATTGGTAAACCCCAACTAAACCGATTAATATCTTTATCAGATTGAACGGAAACAATATAAAAAATCAAAATAAAATAATCATGCTATTCAGTGATTAATTTAAAATTAAATGCATCCGAGTTGCCATGTTCTCTTTCATATAACTTGGTTCATGTCTCGCTCTACATCCAAAAAATATTTATTCATTACTTGATTTCTAGCATATGTTTTCTTAACGAGTACATAATTCATCTTATGAGTACAAGGTGTAAGTGTATGTAAGCATGAGTATTAGAAGACAATACCTAAATCATGTACAGTCAGTCGCACTGGAACGTATTAAACCTTGCTAGCTTACAATAAAGTTCAAATTCTTTGAAAATGTACATTCCCTTGTCTAACTGTACTAGATGATTAATAAAGAAAAATATTAATTAGGCAGCATGTTAGTCGTTTCCGTTAATTTAATTGGCGTTTGTGTAATTGCAAGTGTTAGCTATTGGTATTGGTGGCCAATTACCGCTTTAACGGAGTTAGCGATGAGTGACGCGGTCTTCCGGTAGGTCTTGGTGAGGTAGTGCGCGAATCGCTCGTTCTCTGTCTCCTTGCTGCCCAGCTGCATGAACTCGCCCTGAACTAGGTCTGTCACTACCTGAAACAATCACGAATATTTTTACAGTCGACTGATTTTTGGCAATGTCTGAATTTTGGCTTTTTAACAGAAACTTCATTGGGTCTATTTAGAAGTTTGTTTAAAATTGTTGCGCTTCATAATTATTAGTTATTATTATTAGTTAAGACCTGGTTTCCACCACAGAAAAGAGAGGACGAGAGTTGTGACCAATCAGATTTACGGACTAAAGCGGAGAGGTAATGTGGAAATGGCGAAATTTGATTGGTTATTCAAATCACATCTCTAGTCTCCTCTCCACTTTAGTGGGAACCGAGCATAACCCTACATGGGACGCTCTGACGAGTTCGACACTCCGACTTTTTTTGTAGGGTGACAGTAAATACTCTAGGCAACTCGTAGCAATTAAGCAAGTCAGTCAAGCAATAACAATAAATAACCTAGGTATCTATCATATTTAGCGATCCATGAAATATCGACTAAAAGATTCCGTTTTTCAGCTTTGTCTATCCTGCTCGAGAACCTCATAAGAGAGAGATAGAAGAAGAAACGTAACCATTATAAAGACTAGAGAGTCTCCAATGCACAATCTTACTTTATCACAGATTTGTATATCATGTCTAAAGAATTCTAAAGAAATTCGAAAAATGTAATAAATCCACGTGCTCATTTTTGGATGATACATAATCCACAATTTAAAACACGGTTTTTTAAATGCGGACCGCACACCCTGTAAGTAATATTGCCAGGTCTCTGTAACGATATTTTTCAGCTGTCGATCAAATCATGACCTAATGTTAAGTCAAGCGATTCGTTGCTTTTTAAAAAAAGTTCCTTATTTCTAAAAATAGACTTCGCGTGATAGTTATAATACTAATGAGTAGGTAGCGACGAAAATATTGTAAATGCATCCATAAAACTAAAATAAAAAATATTTGGACACATGCCTGCAATGCAATTTAAACATCCACGCTCAATTGACTGTAGAAATCTGTTTGGAAAGGGTAAATCATCCGATGACCGAACTCGTGGGCACACTACAATCAATATAATAAAATATAATAAATATTAGAGTGCCCTTTTCTACTAATGTGAAGAATTAACTCATAAAAAATACGTAAGTTACTCGTATTTACATCCGTCAATTGGCAAACATTGTTTGCTAATGAAAAACAAGACCTTAATTGGTATTTTATATTATCATTTATATGTTGAAATTACATTTTAGCTATTGATTTATTTTTATGATATTTTCAAACAAATCATACGTGCATCTGCATATAACAAACAAAATTGACATTGTGTATAAATGGCAACTATGTACACAGACAGGATACCTTGATTGCTTTGAATGAATATTCAAGCTAAATAGTAAATTGCAACATAATAATATGTGCGTGCACACACGCGAATAAGGGCCTGGTGTGTGTTGTTTATGTACGAGTATATTATTATGTAAGCAATTAATTAGTATATAATATCTAAAATACGACTATAAAATGGCAATTAAGCTGAAATACATCAATAAGGGTTATTATTTTTCAAATTTAGGTTTTACTAAATGGCATGTTTAGAACAATAAAATTGCAATCAATAAATTTAACATTAATTCGTACAAATTGCTATAACATTATGAAATAAATGATTTATAAAAAAAAACATATTATTATTGATTACAGCAGCAGTAATTATAGCAATTTAGAAGGTGCCAGGTAGGTTGTTGGATAATTATTTCATAAGTACATATTATTAATATAATTTAAATTAACCTTAAATATACTACTAAGGGCATATTGTTGTTTAGGCTTTAGTCAGATGGTGCACTGTAAATAGCATGTTTGTAAATCACGAAATATTTTTTTTACGTGCCAATTATTCCAAAACAATTACGAAATAAATAAAGTAACAATAAATCACTGTTGGCATAAGTTACAAGAATTCAATTAGGCGCTATTTGGCAACATAAAAAAATACATAAAGATACTGAAAGGTAGTGAACTGGTGTATAACACCCGCATGCTACGTTGAGAAAGATACCTTGAACCGGCTCGGTATCTCGTATATTAGAAGGAGGCAAAAAATAAAGCAAAGATAATTGTTTTCATGTTTTTTTTACAGGCTGAAAATTCGACATTCGTAATTGAATGCATTGCCGTCAAAGACAATGAGAACGTATTTATGAACCTGATGATTTTTGGTGACTTTACCTGACTGAGAACGAGTGTGACGTCATCGCTGCGCAAGCGAGCTATCATCATCGACGCCACGGCGAGGATGAAGTCGCCGGCCATCGCCACCTGAAAGTAAAGTAACACAAGAAATTATTTACTGCGAAACCATAGCAAAACTTACAATCAAGAATGACGTTTAGATATCGGTATCAATAATGATTGTTATAATCTATTATGAAATGTGTGTTAAAACAGATCGATGAACTCTACCAAAGAATGCTTAGGATTCCGATGGGAAGAGTTTTGTCTATTTTATCAAAATTTTCATCATCATCATAAAGGACATCATCCNAGTGTTGCTACAGCTTTGGTGCCATAGTAACAAATGCTAAGGCGGACGTATTCTGTCAGAACACAGCACTTTTTTTTTTATTGGCCGACACTTTCGATTTTGAACAAAAAATGTATGAATAATCGATGACTTTTAGATCTCAAATACTCGACGCACAGTGGAGCTACGGCTTTGGTGCCATAGTAACAAATGCTAAGGCAGACGTATTCTGTCAGAATACAGCACTTTTTTTTGTTGGCCGGCACTTTTGATTTTGGACCAAAAATATATGAAACGTGGATGATGTCCTTTCCTTGGTTGAAATTGGAAGCTAATTTCGCCAGGAATCCTTAACTGTAGAGGTACTGGCTGTTTTAACTCCAGTTTGAATTAATGTTGGTATAGATGAAATATGCATATTGTTTTGGTAAAATTATGATGTTTTATTTAATAATTTAAAAACGATTCTTAGCTAATTCATAAATCAGATAACTTTGATTAATAAGCTTACAGTAATAACTATAAGGAGTTTTTTTGTATCCTCAATCTCTCTCCTTGAGCATTAAAAAATAAAGTAATTTATTCCATATACCTTCTGCTTTAATTTGATGGATTAGCTTTTGCGAGATTTTTTTCACTAGCCATTAGTAGGTAGCGTTAATTACTTAAATCGACATATTTAAGTAGATCGTTGCAACACGGGCAGCCAATTCGGCGTGAGGCGTACAACCGCATTTGAAAATTCAGTTCAATGACGACTAGTTACGATAAAGTAGATACATTACCCAAGATTCTTTAGTATTTAACGGGTTAATAAACTGAGTTTTGTAGATAATATATTTGAAGACACGTTTTACTGTTTGCTTTACAACTAATATAAGGTATTATTAGGCAGTAATTAACACTTGAGGACTCGCGCCTTAATTTGTAACATTCATACTCGCTACCGGGTGCGCTGGACCCAGTATATAAAATCCTATGTATTTTTCAAAAACTCTTAATAAAGTGAAAACTACTTTATTAGAAGGATAATATGATATAAACAAAGACAAAATAATAAACCAAATAGTCATATTTATTGCCTTTTTCTAAAATAACAACTTATTTAAAAAATTGAAGGTTTTTTTTGGCAAAATGAAGGTTATTTATGAAAATTTTGTAATTAATTATTTTAAAAAACACCTTGTTTATTTTCGTAAACTACTATGATTTGCCTACTTATACCAATTAACAATTAATGAGAAATTTGTATAGAACATTAAAAAAAATCATGTATTTACCGGGTCAATTGGACTGAAAAACACATTTTTCGTCTGTAGCAATTACATGCAGTGGGCTATTTGACGATTATGACCACTATTGGCCGTGCTACAAAGTTGTGGAAAGGTACTAAGAGCGACAACATCGCAAACGTCAAACTTTAAAAGTTATTACACAAATATTGAAGAACTGGGTCCGTTAGACCCATTAGCGAGTCCTTAAGTGTTAACGAGTGATTAATTCAATAGTTAATACGTTTTGATGTTTGAAATACATCACTCTTGGTTATAATTAATAAATAAATATCCTTGGATATTTAACACTGCGCCTAGGGTTGCCAGGTGTCCGGCTTTAGCCATGTTTGGCTTTTTAGGGACTTGTCCGGCCAAAAATTATCTTGTCCGTCCTGTCCGGCTTTTGTTAGGCTTTTTATGTGGCTGCCTCGCCCAGTCAAAACCACACAAGCGCGATCAGAATGTTGGGCTACCGATACTAAGCAAAGCTTGTACTATAGGTGCAATGCATTTATTGTTGAAATAATGTTATTATAGTCACGTGAAATATACAAAACAATAATTTTGCAGGTTTATAAAAAGGTAAACAAGCATAATGCACGCATAACGACGTAAAGCATCGATTTGATTATAAAATGTATCGGTGGCGCTCATTTCTCCTGCAGCTGTCGGTAAGAATGTTGGGAAAGTTGTGATGCGGTGGTCGGGCGCATACTAATGCCGCGCGCGCACGTTTCGCCGGCCGCTTCCGAGCCCCCGCGCCCCACCCCCCTACGCGCCTGCTTAGGCCGTGTACACACGGAACAGGCTAAAATTAAAACTAAACAGCAGCGATGGTGAATTACGAACTGATTAATCAACTTCAGCTGGGTTTTATATCATCATCATCTCAGCCATAGGACGTCCACTGCTGAACATAGGCCTCTCCCAATGCTTTACATGTTGCCCGGTTGGTAGCGGATTTTAGCCTTGCACGAATTTATGTAAATATGTTGCAGTAGAGCGTATTGAGCGTAAACATAAAAATGTCAAATCAGGAAATTAACAACCGCTAATTGATTTGACTGTTCCAATTCATCCGCTCCGCATATACATCTACATAACGCCTACATTATAGAGACTTCAGAGACTTGGCTGATGTCAACGACTGTCGTAGCTGCATTTGAAATTACTGTACAATGTAGAAGTCGCACATCCAAGTATGTAATACAAGGACACGGGGAAGTACCAGCATACAGATACTATCTACATAATTTATACGCGCCCTTTACATGAATAAAGTTATTTCCCCTTTTATTCACAATAATAAAACATGAACTAATCATGAAAATATTGGGACTACAAATAAGACGTTTGATTGGGAAATCACCTCGCGTAACGGGATAAGGCGAGGCAAAAAAAGAAGAATAAAACATCAACCAATCGTGTAAACCAGGTCTAACAGTGGCACCCGCTCCGGGACCGATGACTCGGTGCTCATTAACAATCGCTGGACACTTGTTAGCCCACATCCAGTAACCGGCTTCCATTCACCTACATACTGCCGATACAGGAACAGGAAAAGCTGACTACCTCCGAGGAAGTAACTTGGAAACTGGACGGTACGCATTTGCCTGATAAACTTTTGGACTTAAACCGAATATTTGACTGACAAGGACAGCGAACATTTGATACGAAACATTGACGAAATGTGCTAAGTACAAATAACACATTATTTTAGCTAATTGTCTCTATGTTTATAATTAAGTCGCAACAAGCAGTACTTAATATACTTTTCTCTACAAATATTATTATTAATATAGTACTATTTTCTTAAGTTGCGTGGATGAAAATGGCCCACGAACGCATTTAATGTCATTAAACAAAGCTTGAAATGGAAATAAAAGCAATAAACAGCCCTATAATAGTTAGGTATTATTAATTAACTTAGGTTAATTGCGCCTAAGTTTCAACATTACTTTAAAATTGTAACTAGAACGATAACAAGACTCTACTTGTAGTGATATTTTATTGGGCAGGTTATTAAAAACGAAGCTCGCTCATAATTCATAATTATTAACAGACAAAAAACAGATAACATTTTTAAGGAAACCACAACAACCTCGTTCCATTTTCGACACCTTAATTTTATAGATTAGATTGGAATTTATAATAATAAAATTAAATTATAACCAGATTTCCGACGATTACCCTTCGTGGACCACAGCGTAACGAAGTATGACCTTTCTGGGCATAAGGCGAGTTACAGAATGTGAAAGCGGTTGGGTGGTGACGCGGACGCGCGAGTGTTTCTCCCATCCAATGCGAGCCTGGCTGGAGGCACCCGGCTGGCACACTAAATTAATATTACTCGTATACAAACTCAGAATGTTTACAGCCATAAATTTTTAACCGTGTCTACACGGCACCAGATAGAAATCTTCCGTCATTGATATAATCTTCGATAGTTAGAGCCAGTTTACACCTCATTACGTTACGCTGTCAGTTTAGCAACTTACGGCGCAGACCGCAGTTCAATGATCGTTCATTTTGATGAATACCTGTCGATTGTCAGATTAATGAGCCCGGTGTTTGCAAGCAACGGGATCGTATACGGGAGCGAGTGGTGGTGGCGCATATCGTATGCGGTCGGTTGCGCAAATCGCGCACGCATTAACACACTTTCCGCCGTCGACTAGCCGGACTAAAAACGCATCCGTTACACGCACGCGCCCCGCTCGGTGCCAGCACGAAACGCGCGGGCAACATCTAAGTAACCGATTGAATTCCAACATGAACAACCAAAATAATCTATCAGTACAAACCTGTTATTAGATGCCCTCATCCATTCAACAGTCAAAGCGTCTAAAGTCCATTTTTATGTTACCTACAACAATGGTACCCGCGGGGTCAACTTTGTTAACAAAGGGTTATAATTTCTTGGTTAATTCCGATTTATATCTACAAAAGATGCAACTCCCATAATAAGAGTGAAAGGCTTTCACATGAACGCGTCGAAAGTCAGCCCAACGTGAGCCACATGAATAATTTACCAGAAAAATCTCTACGATTTCACGCCAACTTAATTCTGAATGCGTTGTGGTTTCTATTCTGTAATTCATTACACCTATACATTGTAATGCAAGTTTGCACCAGGTTTGAATCACTAAGCTTATGCTGGTTTCGCACAGAAGACAACACTATAAATATTCATTTTCCTATTGAAAACTGTTGAGTTAAATCGTATGATGACGAACGAAAGATCTTTAATTATATTTTTTCAAGGCAGTAATGTCAATCACCCCGGATGATCGTTGGATTGTAACGAAATAATATAAGGATGTAGACAACGTTTAAAAAGTCGATTGTACTTTTTCAGTCATAGCCGTAATGAGAGGGGAATAACATAGTCCACGGAATGTCGTGTCGAACTGTCGATGCAGGCAGTGGGTATTTCATCGTAAATTATACGCGATGGTGCGCTATTGACTTTTTAATTTGAGTATAGGCGAAGGCCAGTATCAGAGCGGTTGCGACATTAT